TGGTGGGGTAAAGTGTGGTGGGGGTAAAGTGTGGTGGGGTAAAGTGTGGTGGGGGGTAAAGTGTGGTGGGGGTAAAGTGTGGTGGGGTGAAGTGTGGTGGGGTGAAGTGTGGTGGGGGGTAAAGTGTGGTGGGGGTAAAGTGTGGTGGGGGTAAAGTGTGGTGGGGGGTAAAGTGTGGTGGGGGTAAAGTGTGGTGGGGGTAAAGTGTGGTGGGGTAAAGTGTGGTGGGGGTAAAATGTTGGGTGGGGGTAAAGTGTGGTGGGGTAAAGTGTGGTGGGGGTAAAGTGTGGTGGGGGTAAAGTGTGGTGGGGGGTAAAGTGTGGTGGGGGTAAAGTGTGGTGGGGTAAAGTGTGGTGGGGGGTAAAGTGTGGTGGGGTAAAGTGTGGTGGGGGTAAAGTGTGGTGGGGGTAAAGTGTGGTGGGGGTAAAGTGTGGTGGGGGTAAAGTGTGGTGGGGGTAAAGTGTGGTGGGGTAAAGTGTGGTGGGGGGTAAAGTGTGGTGGGGTAAAGTGTGGTGGGGGTAAAGTGTGGTGGGGTAAAGTGTGGTGGGGGTAAAGTGTGGTGGGGGTAAAGTGTCGTGGGGGGTAAAGTGTGGTGGGGTAAAGTGTGGGGGGTAAAGTGTGGTGGGGGTAAAGTGTGGTGGGGGGTAAAGTGTGGTGGGGGTAAAGTGTGGTGGGGTAAAGTGTGGTGGGGTAAAGTGTGGTGGGGGTAAAGTGTGGTGGGGGGTAAAGTGTGGTGGTGGTAAAGTGTGTGGAGTGGGGTAAAGTGTGTGGTGGGGGGTAAAGTGTGGTGGGGGTAAAGTGTGGTGGTGGTAAAGTGTGGTGGGGGTAAAGTGTGGTGGGGGGTAAAGTGTGGTGGGGGTAAAGTGTGTGGAGTGGGGTAAAGTGTGTGGTGGGGTTTCTGAGAGCCTCTCAATTAACGTCGCAATCTGAATTCCCGAGGGGAGCAGAGCGCGGACGCTTTGTGGCCCCGAACGATTGTGAGCCTCGCGCGGCATTGGACCGCTGGGAGACGCGGTGGCGAGGGCAGGGGGCGAGTTCTTCAGTTTTTATTTATTAGGTATAACCCTGTGAGCCATGCGGCTCTTGACTCGGGTGCAACCGCAACAAAACAAAAACATGAACAAGAAATATCTTAAAGTGAGTGTGATGAACCTTGAAGTCAGGTGCGGTGCCGGATTAAGCGAGAGCGGGGCTTGTAGCATATGTTATAAAGGGGCCATAAATATCAAAACACACATTTTTAACTTGCATAGTAATGTAATTGTTTTTTTTTTGTTTCATTTGTTATACAGCCAGATAATACGACAAATCGCTAACCTAAAACACCCAGTCATTCATCAAAGATGAAGGCGGTATAGTACTATAGTAATAGAGCAAGTGCAGAATCACAGAACCGGAATTGAGAGCTTGAAAGCATTTAGCGCGGGGCCCTTGAAAGTGCGGGGCCCGTAGCTACATTTGTAGCTACGTTTGCTCCTAGGATAATCCGGCACTGGGACGGAGGTCAGTGGGTACGGGAATTACGGTGAGTGCCTGGGGGTGGAGGGAACGATGGACCAGAGGTGAGCCTTTAGGGAGGATCGGAAACTAGACGGGGAGGGTTCTTGCGTTACGCGGGGAAGCTGCGTTCCAGTGCAACCGTGGCTATTGCCACCGCTACCTTAGAATGGATGTCGACCGGCACGGTGTGATAACCGAGACGTGCGGACCACCCTTTTGATAACAACAACACCAACAACAAGAACAACAAGAACAGGACGGCTCATCCGCGCGCAGAGGGTTGTGCGCGCTTACCGCCGGCGGCAATTTGCTTTATTGGCGGGTTTGCCGCGATGACTCGATATGCTTTGCGAGACACTCCGCCGTGCGAAATCACTGGTAGCCTGAAAGCATTTAGCGCGGGGTCCTTGAAAGTGCGGGACCCGTAGCATGTGTCGCTACTCGTGCCACTGGGATAATCCGGCACTGGTCAGGTGTAAAGTAATGCCTGTTCAATCAAAGCTAATCGGCGAGAAGGTGATGTTAGTGCACCGCCCGCCTGAGGTGGCGGTACACATTAAAAAAAAAACTACTCAAGAGTCTCGTCTTCTACTTCTCTATCGTGTGCCTGCTGATGTCGATGCAGAACAACAACAACTTCTCTTTCACGTGCAAGGCGGTCAGGCCCAGGTAGCCGCGTCAGGAGCAAGTGGAGTCGTTACCATCCCTGTGATGTCGCACAGTCGCACACTGGAGAGATTTAAATTTCTCATTCGTGCATCAGGCATCCACATATCTACCTTGGGTTGTAACGTACGCGATTTAGGGCGGACCGTGAACCCCGTGGGTGATTAAACCCAGGCATCCTCTGCGTTGGGAATTTTACAGCGTGTTTGTGAGTTATTTTGAACTCCAATAAGGTATCCAAGAGTGTCGGGCGTTGATGATAAACATATAGCGGCTGGATGTCCTGTAACCCGTTTTGCTGTTACCCATAATGTCCCACCGTAACGCATAACGAGTGCATTGCTTTTTTAATTGCGTTGAATGGGGTCTCATATTTTATATGGAGTGCTCTTGCCAGTAACGTCTGATAATCCAGCAGCATTTGTGAAAAAAAAGTCTTATTCTGCTGATGAGAACCAGAAGATTGAAGCCTGTCCAGAGTTTTCTCGCTTTCACAAGGCGCCGTTGGATTATTTTGGTCTAGAAATCCAATTAGACCATGGACTAAAAACCATATTTGTTTGTGGGCAAAGCAAAGTATGGACATCAGAATCTGTATTCATCCTGGATAAATCCGAAGAGCTGTAAAGCTCTTTTTCTCAGATGTCCAGTACATGACATAATTGAGTTATGCTTTTATATATATTCCTCGTCTTAACATAATAACTACGCACTGGAGAGATACAACCACGGCGTGGCTCTGGTGGCACTGATGTGCAGCTCCAACCTAAATACATCACACAGTCATAGGCAACGTCGTTGTGGGGAGTATGATTCAAGAAACAAAAACGGACAATACACCCCTTCACGCGTTGCCTCTCCACACATAACATATCCGAATCTTTATTTACACCGGACGAATCCGATGAGCTATGGAGCTATGCAGCTGTGTTTCACACATGTCCAGTACGTACCAACATATACGAGTGATTTATTTGTTTTATTTGACACATCCCGATGGCTACCTGGGTCTTCCCTGGAGTGCCATTCTCAGCAGACGCTTGCACCGTGGCCCACAACGGGAGTACGTGCCGCGCCCGTTCCTTCTTAAGCTGCACTTTTGTGGAAAGTTGCCGCTTCCCCCACCTCACCTTCTTATCCTGTAGGGGTGGGGGGCGCAAAGTGGCCACCAGAGGGCAGACTTGGCCCGTGAGCCGCAGCTCTTTGTTTTTCAAAAGAGAAACACAATTAGGGTATCGTCATCTCTCGCCTCGGGTCCCTTCGAAACCTATTGGCGTAGGGGCATTGGCGTGTGGCGTGTGTGTGTATGGGGGGCGGGGGGGGGGGGTGGTGAGCACTTGTCATAACAGAAACCTGCCCAGCGACATCCCAACAATAGCACGGGCAATGCGCACGCATATGTAGGTGCATGTGGAGAGGTAATGACGCGTGTATTGCACGCTTGCCGTGATGATCGTATCGCCAATCAGAGAGATGAGATGTCTTCTGAATGCTCTCACCTGCTGTATAACGGCTGGCACAATTAATGGTGACATTGCTTGTTTATACACGCAGGATTTATTCTTAATTGGAGAGCTTGGTGGTTGCGATTGTTGATGGGGATGATTGTGGTGGTGGTGAGTGTGCAAATATCGTTGGTGGTTGTGGCAGTGTTGGTGATTGTGTTGGTGGTGGTTTATGATTGTTTTTGTAAGGACGTTATGACACTACTGATGATGACGTTTAAGGTGTCAATGCGATGATGGTTGAGGTGGTTGTGTTTGACAATGCATCGCGTATTGCGATCCTCCTGCTGGCGATGATGAGGATTTCACGATTCGCACCATCGGCCAGTTGAGAATGTCAGATTTTCGCGCACGCACCCACAATATTTCTCATTGTAGTTCGATACACACTTGCCTCTGTTTCATGTAATATTCATGTTCATTAACCAGGCAACACTTTTGCTTATGTTGGCACTACGTCGCTTGCAGCAATGTTGAGACCGCTATTAAGCAGCAGAGTATTGTCCTGTCAGGGTAATAATAACGATTGAGTTTAATCCCATGAACACATCAACACGAGGCCAAATGTCCCACGCTCAGCACTTACGTGTCCATCCACGGCCCCTCTTTGTCAATCAATTTATGGATGCGCGTAGCGGGTGTTTGTTAAACCAAAACCTCGATGTTCAGCGTGGGATGCTGACTGAAGAGATTGACACGGGAGTTCATCGCGGCACAGCGGCGTACAACAATGGCATTTTTTTCTGCCACTGCTCACGGACTTTAGAAGCCAAAGAAAAACCTTGGACGCACGGCGGTGTGGCGGCCCGGGTCACTCTTACAAATGCGACTCTGTCTCTCTCTCTCTTTCTCTGGGTCTCCTGAGGTCTTCAAAATGAACCGGACACTTGAAACCCACACAGACAACCACCGGTTAGCTGCCGAGGTCTGCCGAGATCGGGCGCGGTGAGTTTTGTTCGACCAGGTGACAACCGCTCATAGGCACGCAGCCCGAATGGGACATTTCAAAGGAACGCTGAGCGACGTTTTCACATCCGATTGCGAGGAACGGCGCATTCGCTCAGAGATTGGTTGGCGTAGCCTCAATGCTAATTCAGGGATAAGCGCCATCGTTTTCCATGTGGGCCCGTTGGCTTTTGTTATTGCTGTAGGGAGGACGGGACGGGAGGAGGGGGGGGGGATATGTCCTGCACGGGTAGTCACCAGGAATCAATTGTGGCTTTAACCAAAAGAGGCATCCTGGCTGTGTGAGAAAAAGCCTACCCGCGTCAGTAGCGAGACTGTCCCAGTGAACAATGCCTCGATGGCGCGCGTCGCGACGTCAGGCACCATCGCAGGCGAGGTAGAAGTCATTACATCACTGCTCATTCATCACAACATCTGCAACCCCCCCCACCTCCCACACCAGCCGCCCCTCTGTGCGCGAACCTCTTACCCTGCCATCCACAAGCAAAGCCAGCACAGCAACCATTAATTTCTCCAACTTTCTTCCACCTCTCTCTGTCTGTCTGTGTTCTATTATAACACTGCTCACCCGCAATTGTGTCCACCGCTACTATCACCACCACCACCATTCACCACTACAACCCCACCATCATCCAGCACCCACACACTAAACCTCGCTTCACCCCAAAGCCCCTGTTCCTCTCTCTCTCTCTCCACCCCCCGCGCTCTCCTATCCCTCTCCCCACCATCTCTCCCTCCCTCCCTCCCTCTCCCTCCCTCCACATCCTCTCTGCTGGGTCGAGGTCAACTCGGCATAGGCAGCAGCGGCAGTAGCAGCAGCAGCACGAGGAGGAGGAGGAAGGAGTTCGCGTGCGGCGTGGACGCGCAGGCGAATCGTGCTGCGGCGGTGGTCTTCTGCCGTTAGGCTCCTTTGTAATTCTCTTAATTTAGATTTACAATTGTGTTTTTTTTTTACAACAACCAGCATTGCCTCACTGGAAATTGCCACCGCTCAGCTTGTCGCGACGTTTTGAGAGAGGGAGAGAGAGACGGAGGGGAGAGAGAGCGAAGGGGCTGGTGGGGCATTTCGCTCTTCCTCCCGTCTCGCGAGTGCAGTCGCAGCCCTCGGCAAAGGCTGCGCCCATCCCAAGCTTATCGATGGAGTTATCGTGACGCTCTCAACTCGCTCCATCGCAAGGATCAACTGATTTTTTTTTTTATATACGGCACCGGTCATCGGTAGGGGGGTTTAGTGGCCGAACGGACAGTCGAATTAAGACTCGGTGCTTTTTAATTCATCGGTTATATTTTTTTGCGCGTGTTATATTTGAAAGAAATACAAACCCCCCCCCCCCCCCCCAACCTCCCCCCCAACGTATTCGGGGTTTTAAAGACGCCGCTGGACTGAAACAGCCGCTCCATATTTTTACTCTGCGAGAAGAGCGAGAGGGCGATCGGTGTCTGTGTTGTAAGCTTGGCTCAAAAGACGACACGTGCGCTTGCCTTGGGATATCCATACACAGACAAGCAAGATACTGTGACTGCAGAGAAGGAGGCCGCTCTCTGCAAAGCAACTGTGTAGCAAGACGCGGATGAATATAGAGGAGGCTTTGGGAGTGGACTAGGGCAGCTGTTCTACCCCCATACGACTGCTGCAACTGCATTCTTCCTTCAACCGTGGTGCATTGTGCAAAGTACACACTGGCTGGCGTCTATATGAATGAGCAAGTAAGTAAGACCTGTGCAGTATTGAATCAAACTCTCTCTCTCTCTCTCTCGCGCGCACACACACACAAGCCACACGCAAGGGCTCCGTGCTTTGTAAATGTGTCGAAATGAAATACAATGACCACGAAATTCAGCAGCTCGCTTGCGGATTCGCTTATGAGTTTTGCTTTTCACCCGAGTGCATGTGCGATGAACGGTAGTGAACACGGTCATGATGGTGATGTTCATCTCATCGCTGGTCTAACGACGATCATTCGTATGGTTGTTTTTGTTTTTATCTAGAAAAGAGGATAATGATGATGATGGTGGCAATGATGGTTGTTATCAGGGTGTAATTTCTCTACTCCATATATTTGTTTGGATGCTGCAAAACGGGCCGGCTTTGGAGCAGGGATTGGCGAGTATCAGGCACCGCCACCATAGCACACCGCTCCGTTACAATCGTAGATAATATTCCTACGAGTAGATATTATTGTTATAGATATACAAGACTAACCACGGCGAGGTGAAGTTGGCGCGCACACCAAAATCGCCGTAACAGCATTCAACCACTGTTCAGGATGCAATAAAGTGCCGGATATTAAAACCGATGGAGGAGGAGGTGGTGGTGGTGGTGATGGTAACGAGCATCTGCAACGTGAATGATAACTCGCGACACCTTCGGCTAATAGCGATCTGGAGCGACATCAATAATCCGGAGGTGCGTTTGCCCGCAAGGCGCTCAACGCAGTGCGAGCTGAATGGTGAATTGCTGCTCCCTTTTAAGAGCGGAAGCAGGTGGATTGCCTCACTATTCTGGCAAATCTCTCGATGATGCTGGGTGATGCCATTGCCAGCCGAAACGTCGTACTACTCAAATTGTAAATATTGTGGATGTACTCTCCAACGCACCGGTGGGCTGATGTAGCGATTGATCGGCGAGTTTTGTTTACGTGACAAACCTTACTGGCTGTGGCGGGTGGTGGAGGGTTACGACACATTTATACTTACGAGATCTAACACACAAAAAAACCCCTTCATTACGAAGAATGTTGAATGTCGGTGTCAACTTCAGTCACGAGGGAATCTCAACGCCATCGGTGGGGAAACTTTGTTTTAAATGGTCAGAATTCTGACCAACACATTGGCCGCGCGTAAATGAAATACGTCTATTTATTTTAGAACGTGACGATATTGTCAGGAGATGGTAGGGCTAATGATAATAATGTTGGCGTCAAACTACGACGTGACCTAACTCCACGTAATGACGCCTAACGTTGACACGAATACACCAACAAACATACAGTTTATTATAAAGAACAATACAGAACAAATGAAGGACAATAGCATCTTCTCCCCCACCCCTCCTCCCCCACCCACTATGATCCTGCCTCCACTCTAGGGATGTCAAGCGTCACGCTGCCCTTGTTGAAGGAGGAGGAGGCTGGCGAGACTCAGCAGTCCAAGGATGCAGGGGACAGGCAGAAGCGGCTCCGCGTGTGTGTGATGAGCGAGATACTGAGCACGGAGCGCGACTACGTTGGGGCCCTGCAGTTCTTGGTGTGCGTGAGTAATCCACGGGATCATGGCACCCTACCCCCCCACCACCATCCATCATCGGTGCCATCCCCCCTTACCCATCGCTCCCGCCGCCCTCGTCAGGAGAACGCGCATCCACCCCCGCCTCTCTGTCCTTGCCGTTGCAATTTGGGTCCCAAGTGTGACCACGTCCAGTGATAATACGCGCTAATGATTATGAACGGCACGTTTGTCCAGGGGAAGGCTCGTTTTTCAGCAGGTTACCGCTTCTGGATGCTTGGCCGATGCTTTCTAACGAGTGTGTTGCTTCATGCGAGCGGGGGGGGGGAGAAGGTGAGGAACCTGGATAAAACTCGGTACGTCGCATGCATACCAATTGGTGCGACTCGAAGTGCACCTGGCCTGGCACAGGCGGCGTGGTGGCGTCCACTGTCACTTCGTGGCGAATTGCGGCTGTCTGTATTGGTGTTGATACTCGACGCTGCCATTTCCTGGCCATAACCTCGCAGCCTCGCGTCTGCAACCATTGGCGAGCCGTTGACATTCACGTATCCCAAGTACTAACCAGGCTAAAATCCCTGCTTAGCTTCCAACATTGAATGGGGGTGTGACAAGTTCGTGCGGGGGGTACATTTGTGCCGGTGGACATCTGGAGGAGACATTACAAGCATATCGGAGTAAACGCATGCACGACTTGACAATTTTTAAGAAAGCGGTTTTGTTTGAGATTAACTTTTACAGCAGGGACAGAGGGGCAGAATACTCTGGTGCCAGAGAGGGCAGTGCGGTAGCCGTTCGCATGAAAACAAAGGAGAGAGTCTTGAGCTTGGACTTGAACCAGAGGAAGGGTCTTCGGAGTGCTGAGGGCCACATGGAGACATTTTCAGGCAGAAGTGGAAAAGCAGCAACGTCCCATTCAGCGGAGATTGAATGCCGGCTTTGGCAGAAGGTATTGATGGCTGTAGAGCTGTTATAATAACTTACCTGCTCCGGAGGGTTTTGCGTTTGGTTTTTATATTCCGATTTTTTTCAGACAATTAATGAATGTTCATACGTATGGGAGGAATCCAGAGCACCCAGAGAAAATCTGCGCGTGCGAGGGCGGAACACTTAATCCCACACATACGGAACAGATGGAGATTAGTCCACAATTCGATGTACTCCTTTCTCCCGGCAAACCGGGGTAATGGCAAACTCAAGGCCCCCAGTGTAAGGGAGTTGAACAACTTTTTTTGCGCTATCCACCAACCCTCGCTGCCTCCGCAGTACTGGACTACAGGCCACGTCCATGGCCATCGCCGCCTGGCATCGTAAGGGAAGGCGGTGGGGTGAGGGAGAAAGAGATTCATGTGGCGGGTTGGTGGTGGTCGTGGTGGCGTGGGTCGTTGTTTCAGAGGTCGGGGCGGGGGGGAGGTTTTGGGGGCCTCCCTTGCTATGCAGGTCGGAGGCTCCTTGGGGTTTATATTATTTACGACGCTCATTGCGTGCAGCTGATGGAAGGAGCCGGAGAGACCACATGTCAGCTCTGCTCCTTCCACGTGACATTGCCCATCTACGTGAAAAGACGAGGATAAGTTTGTCCCGGTCTGCTCTTGAACGTGTGTGTGATTTGCAATTGTGTTGTGATGATAATTGCCTTTATTGCGAAGTGTCTAAATTTGACCGTGCCCATAATTAATGATGATGATGATAACAATGCGATGTTTATCCATGGAAGCCTCAATGAGTCTCAAGACTCTCATTTTACGAGTGTCCTGCATTTAGACGCTTGGCCGGTGCCATGAATGCGTGCATGGGCACGTGGGAGGAAAGCATAATGCCTGGAGGTAGACCCACACATCTTAAGTGGGTAGCAATTAAATCTCCGGCGAAGATAGCGTCAAGGATCTATGGATAATCTGCCACCGCCGATTCGCGTCGCAGCCTAAGCCAATACCAGCCGCTATTCCCAGTCCGTCTCCCATTAAAAGTTCCAATCTGCCGTATGTACCATGCTCGTTTTCAAGTGCTCGCGAACAGACCTTGCCCGAGCAGTCAACACAACCGAGCAGGCGTCTTTGTCTTGATATTTACCGTCGTGGTTGCACGATTGCTGCATCTATTGTGCCACATGGGAGTGTGGGGAGATTGGCGAACTTGATAAGCTGGAGGGGCCAGTAAGTGCAAGGGAGAGTTGGGTCTCTCGATTTGTATTGTCTGCTCCCTCTGCCTCCTCCTCCTCCAGAGACACCGTTTCCCCACACACCCTCACACACCCCCACTACCTCCACCACCCCCACACACCCCACACACCCTCACACACCCCACACACCCCACACACCCCACACACCCCCACACACCCCCACTACCCCACACACTCCCACTACCCCACACACCCCACACCCCCTCACACACCCCACACACCCCACACACCCCCACACACCCCCACTACCCCACACACCCCACACCCCCCCACACACCCCACACACCCCCACACACCCCACACACCCCCACACACCCCACACACCCCACACCCCCCCACACACCCCACACACCCCCACACACCCCCACACACCCCCACACACCCCCACTACCCCACACACTCCCACTACCCCACACACCCCCACACACCCCACACACCCCCACACACCCCCACTACCCCACACACTCCCACTACCCCACACACCCCACACACTCCCACTACCCCCACACACCCCACACACCCCACACACCCCACACACCCCCACACATCCCCACTACCCCACACACCCCCACCACCCCCACCACCCCACACATCCCCACTACCTCCACCAACCCCACTACCCCACACACCGCTCACCAATCTCAGCTAACCTTTGGGGGTACAGTGTCAAAAGCCGCTTGCTGTTAATGCCCATACACCTCATTACTCTGCCACCTCAATCAGAGCAGGCCCATTGTGTTCCCGGCGTCAGACGAATCCACCTGCGTTGAGAGGGGCAATCGTGCCCCTACCGAGACGGAGGAAGCGCCTTGTGCCTCATTCCGATTTGACGTAGCGACCGGGAGCTGTGCGAGCAAATATTCATTTTGAGTGACGATCAATCGGCCCTTTGGCTCGGCGGTCGAGCGAGCAGCTTGCAATCGGAAGGTCATGGTGAGTTCAAATCCTAGTTGGTGGTTGATTTGACCAATCATCACTCCTCCGAGGTAGATACAGTTAGTACAATTTTATAAGGCGGGGGGGGGAGGGGAGTCAACAGTAATTGCCCTATGATTATAATGCCCCCCCCCCCCACCGTCACAGGAATGTGGAATTTCCACCTTTGGCGTAGAGCTGTAGACCGGAGACGAGCACCACCTTCACTACTCATTCGAGCAAGCAATCACCGATTTTTTTTTTACTTGGCCCATCATTACTCCGTGGTAGATAAAATTACTACCCCTTTATGGGTAGAGGGGGGGGAGAATCAACAGTGTTTGTCCTATGGGTATACACGCCTTCCGCCATAGGAATGTGGAATTTCTACCATTAGCGTAGATCTGATTTTTTTTATTTCGTGAAACGATCAATCAAAGTCAAACCGCATCGCTCATCGTTGTCGCCTCTCTAAAACCAGGCGTGCGGCCGGTTTACGTTGAGGAAACGAAAGCACCGTCTCGCCAGAGTCACCTGTACAAATGTGTAAGGGGGAGGGAGGGGGGGGGGTTAAAAACATTGCAGCCCCCGCACGTTTGCGAGCGAAAGAGAGAGGGGGGGGGGGGGAGTCGGGGAGGGGGGCTTTCTGTAATCGTAGCCAGCGCCGCGGGCCCGGTACTTCCACCGAAATCCGCGGTGAGCCTTGGGCTCCCGGCCGCCAGCTTCGCCCGGCGCTGCCAGCGAATAAACAAACACGCGTTTAATTTAAGGAGCACATTCCTGCGAAATCCCGCCGCCGTAGCAGCAGCAGCAGCATCTCGGCAGAAAGCTTTGCACCCTAGGTCGTTTTGTTTCACGGCGCATATTTTCCCCCCACTTGCAAAATATTTATAAAGCGGTGGGTTAAAAAAAAAATCATAATATATATGCACGCGTGTATTACGATGGCTGAACAGAACTTGTTACGCTTGGTCCGTTGAAATTGCCCCATTCCTGGTCATTGATTTCTTTTGTAATCTACGGGTCCCGTCGTTAATTTACTGCATTGTTTGAAATGTCAGGAGGTTTTCTTTCTCAGAATATGCTGTTTGAAATGCTGGCTGGGAGTCCCTTACTGCAGTCATTATAACAAAGACAGACCTCGGAGATGAAACATGTATATGAGCGAATGTTTTGGGGTCTTGGCGTTCGCTTATTGGGTCAAAACAAGCTATTGCTATTTTTGAAAAACGGTGCTCCAACTTTCTAAAGATGTGACTTCCAAGTGTTCCAATTACCCCATTAGGTCATCACGGTTCTATTTGCTTGCGAGAAAATATGAAAAGGTTATCACCACGTGTGTCAGTACGATTTATTCCAAATCTATTAACGAACTTTGAAATTCCATGTATTCCTGACACTGTTAGCCACATTACATGTCATCCATGAAACGAATCGATCCAAAAAATAATCCTATTATCCGCATTTTAACTGGTAATAGGGGTGGCCTGTAAGTGGTCGAAGGTTTATCCTATTGTTCACGGGTAGCGCCAGGGATTTCAGGAGTCCTATTTGCCCGTTTATAGGATGTGCCAAAATCGTCCCAATATTTATGAGGGGCTAACAGAAGTTTAATTCCGTATATATATTCGCCGTGTCAATTGTAAAGGTTTGTTACCTAATGTCTGCTATTGAAGAAACAATCAGGCACTCTACCAACTGTTTTATATTCCACTCTAACGAATCAATGTTGCTCAATAGTTATCTTATTACTTATTTTACGATTCCACATTTATTTACAACGGCAATAGTTACGTGTTTTCAGTCAGTGTGTGTATAGGTACCAGTTCAGGCAATGTTAATTACAGCTCAAATTAGCATTCGAGGGGGTGCTCACCTCCTGTTTACAGCCCAGAGCCAGTGTTGGAAATCATTCATTCCTATAACAGGA